TCTCACCATACTCTAGATACACCGCCTCCACCCGATCCCTTCACTTCTCCCCAATCTTACGGCCCTTGCCCGTCTCTGGCCCACCCTTGTTTGCATCCTTAGCCCCTCTCGCTTTCCGAACAAGCTCTTTAACTTCCATTCCCCCTGCCCCGTATTAGGAGACCCTTGACCCCAACCTTCTCTTTACCCCTCCCCCCAACTCCTGCCCCTTACCCACTTCACAACCCAACCCAAGCAACCTCCCTTCCTACGACCTCCCTCTTGCCCCTCCTTCCCGACCCGAAATAGCAATTCTTTCCATGGCTACGCCGGACCCGGACCCGGACATTTCCGGACATGGAACCGGACCCGTGTCCGGTAGTTTCCGGACGTCCGGAATTCGGGACACTTCCGGACCTCCGGACATGGGAGGATCCAGACGGTCCGGATGTCTGGACAGCTCTGGAAATGTTCGGACCAATAAAAAAAAATAAAAATAAAAATATCTGAAAAAAAAGTATGTTATGCAGAATAACAATGCAAACCACCTTTGCCTCAGAGTCATGTCAGAATTCCTAACCAAACTTGAGTTAAAAGTCAAAAACTATTTCAACTATTAAAAAGCTTAAAAAAAGACTTCAAAAACTAATAAAAGGTAATGCATGATTAATAATTTAAAAATTGGGGCTGTGTAATAAATTATTATAGAGAGAGAGCATGTCCGGACTCCCAAAAAAAGCATAAACGGGCCTGAAAAAAACCCAAAACAATTTTGGGCGCTTGGCTCTTCAATGGGGAAGGGTCCCAGACGGGTTTTTCTTTTTTTGTCCCCTCGAAATTTGGCAGATTCGGACCTTCCAGACTGGACATCTGGAGTCCGGACTAAATCCAGACCGTCTGGACGGCGGTCCGGACGTCCGGATCGTAGCCATGATTCTTTCCCTTCCTGGAAATCCTAACCTTTTTTTTTTTTTTTTTTTTTTTTAACAATGCTCCAATCTATTCGTGGAGAGCAGCACGTGCTGGGAACTGGGCACAGCATCCCATCAGAAAACATATTAGGAAACGTATGCAAAACACTTGAGATACTGGGGCCATTACCCGGCTTCAGCTAAGAATAGCTGAGAATATAAGACTACCTAAGCTTGGACAACGCCCCAGCTCCGGCCAACAATGTTCTGGCGTTGGACAGCTAGAGCATCAATATAGCTTTGGGCCACTAAAAACCTTCACAGTCTTGAAGAATCCTGATAGCCACATACGGAGCACCACACAAGTCTTCAAAATACTCAAAGCCCCCAGGGACCCCAAACAAAACCCTCTACGACCCTCCAATACTGTTTTATTCACTGGCGGGCTCTTCCAGGCCTCACCCCCCCACCCTGCTAGGCTACAAGGTGGCACGACTCACCCCAGCTCCGGCCAGCGTCGTTCCAACAGTAACCCTTGGTTGTCCCTTAAAATGCCCACCCCAAAGCATCCCCAGATCTCTCTACCAGGCCTCATGCTCCTGCTATCAACAGGTTACAGGGCAACACCCCAGCACCGGCCAGCGTAGTTCTGGCATCGGACAACCGCAGATCCACGAGCATAACAGCATCAGAACAGCCTACAGAGAGTTTTTTTTTTTTTTTTTTTTTTTTTTTTTTTTTTTTTAGTTGCTAGGAGCCCCAARAATCTCAAAGCATTCTTAAAACCACCGGGAGCAACCGAGAGCAGCAGACTTGCTTATAAAAGAGTAAAAATCAGCTAAGATTATTCGGGAGCCGACATAAACAAAACCACATTACTCCAGTGCTATTCAGCAGACCATCCTACAACTGCCTCAACCCCTTCATCCTAGATGCCAAGCTCTACCAGGCCTCACATCCCCAACCGCTGAGTTACAGGGCAGCGCGACCCGGCCCAACTCCGGCCAGTGTCATCCGAGCAACAACTCACGGTTAGGCACTGGAATGCCTTCCACCCTCGACAATTCCCCAGATCTCTCTACCAGGCCTCGACCCCCCGCTTCACTCAGGTTACAGGGCAGCGTAACCAAACCCCAGCTCCGGCCAGCGTTGTTCTCGCATCAGCCAGCCGTGAACCCGTGGATATGACAGTATTAGCCCGTTGTCAGACGATCCGCTCAACACCACCACAGCCATGGCTTCAAGTTGTCTAGCTCCCTTCTCGCACTGGACATGCTTGACCCACCTAAACCACCTAAGCACTCCCCCTTAACCCTACTCCGGCAAGACTCGTTACAACGGAGCCACCATCTCCGTTGCTGCTGTGCCCTAATCCCATCCTACCAGCTAGCCCCATCGCAAGCAAGATGTGTCGTTCCCTCCTGTTAACTCACCCCTACCTATGCAACCCCAACATGGAGGGGAAAGCTAGAGAAAAAAAAACAGTACCCAATCCAAGCGAGTCTCTCCACAACCAGTGCGAAAAAGATACTAGTACACTTCACAGTCCAAAATCAGAAGGGAAAATTTGCAAAATGACCCTGAATTTTCCGTTTATTTGCGATTTGCCCTCGGACGACCGATTTTTCCTGATTTGCCCCTGGGGCCTCTGAACTTTCGTGCAGGCCCCTATCAGTGAGGGGCCCAACTTTTCGGAATGCCCGTACCGGACCTGCGGTCCCATTTCCCGTGGTGCCTGTCCGATTTGCCCTCCTGCGGGGCATGCATCTTTGTGAGATGTCATTGAACAGGGAGGTGCCAAAAATTTGAATTTGAACTCCGTACTTTTTCACTTCGCCGCCAAAAAAGCAACGCTGCACTCTGCGTCACCCTTGCACGTGCAATCCACCGCCTTGGAGTTCGTTCGCCTTCTGCTGCGACACACCGACTTCCACATCCTCGACTTCGACATCCTTGGAGTTTGTTCACGAAGGTCTGTGCTCCACCCCTTCTTCCATGCCTCTCTCTCTCTCTCTCTCTCTCTCTCTCTCTCTCTCTCTCTCTCTCTCACACACACACACACACACACACATACTCGTGCAAAACAATGGAAAGCGCAGCAGAAAGATGACAACANCTCTCTCTCTCTCTCTCTCTCTCACACACACACACACACACACACATACTCGTGCAAAACAATGGAAAGCGCAGCAGAAAGATGACAACATGGGCAAATTTCTGATATACCCGGGTAGCTCCCATCCCAGGGTCAGGGGAACGGCCGCATCCAACAAAGACCATGGGGGCATACTGAAAAGATGCATGGTATCGGTAGGGGCATATGGAAAATTCTACTGCAGGTCCTCAAACGGCCAACAGGTAGGGGCATACTGGAAATATGGCGGCGGTACCGGTAGGAGCATATTGGACATATGTCAGGCCGAAGTGACGCCAGGGGTTTTCTGGAAACTTGAGTCGTTGTCAGGGGGGCAAATCAGGAAACATCGACAGTCCGAGGGCAAATCGCAAATAAACGAAAAATGTAGGGGCATTTTGCAAATTTTCCCAAATCAGAAACATACTATTGTAATTATCAATTTAAGGATTACAAAAAAAAAAAAAAAAAAAAAAAAAAAAAGATTTAAGGATTACCGATTATGAAGGCAGAAGTTTGGAATTGCGAATCAAGAGTCGAGAGATATACCAACTGAGCTTTTATAGAGAATTTTCAAGGGGCGCTGCGTAGCGGAGGATCGCTCGGCGAGGTTGATGTGCATTAGCTTGGCTTGCCAAAATTTGCTACGGGTAGGAACGCGGGAGAGCTGTGAGGGTTAGGGCGCACGGGCGCGTGGTACAGCCTCCACGACGGCGGTGAAACGCCTCAGTTTCTGCCCACCTTGGTCGGGGAAATCCGGGAATCCTAGTCAGCCTTGGAAGGATGGTGACACGTGGGGGTGGTTGACGGGCAGGGTGTCAGCGCTCCACACATACCATATATGGAACTTGTCAGGGGGCAACCCCCTGGCTTCGATATGGAAAACGGTGAGTTCACGTCTCAACTGTCCTGTAATTAGGCAGTGATCTTGAAGATGTTTTGAGTGAGATATTGACTTGGCTTCATCGAAATCAGAAGATGCTGGCGGCGCTGAATTTTGCAGCTGCTACGCATGACGTGGAGGCACACCAAGTGCATGTTGCTTGACGCCTATGTCCTGTTGTTTGAAGTACAGAGACAGGACGAGGCGGGAGTGGTCAAGGCGAGGTGGAGAGAGTTGACCTCATGCTTTTGTAGATGGGTGGTATGGTTGAGGGTTGCGGTTGACGGCTTGGCGGACAGGTGCGATTCCGCCATATCAATTTAGGTTCCATGTTTTTTTTGGTCAGCGCCGAATGTTGCCATTGAAGCCGTACTTGCGTTGACTTGCTGATGGCTGCTGCTGACGAAAAATTCATGACTGCGATAGGATCGGTGTTGACACCCGTGTCCGCGTGGCTTCGTTGGGAATTATAGCCGAAGACATTCTGGGACTGTGACAAGATTACTTTTGTCGACGTTGGTTTGTTGAGAAAGGATTGACCGCTGTTGGGCCTACTTAGTGGACTGGGGGTTTGCCTGATTCGGTGATCAAGAGTGTGTCCTTGTGGACATCATGGCATCCTCTTCTGCTGGAATTCCGGCGGAGGTGGACCGCAGAGCGGAAGACCTGCATGGCATGCTCCAGAACTGCTTTCTTACTGGCGAGGAGAACGAATAAACGGTGGCACGATACATTCATACGTATCGGGATGCCCAGGAGGATATGGTGGTGGTGGACTTGGACCCCTTGGCGACGGATGTCACGGTTGGCTATTTGCGGCAGCATGGGGTGCTGGTGGTTTTCCAGGGAGCCGGCGCTGACGCGACGTTTGTTGAGAAGGAAGAATGGTTGCGAGTGATGGAGACGGGTTGGGATCTGGCCACAGCCCGTGGTCATCATGGTAGGATCAAACCAGAAGGGGCTAACATGATCTCCTACTTGGCACCAAACCACGTGCTCCGAGACTGGCTGCTCAATACACTGAAGAAATGTGATAATGTGGTGGTGGGCGGTAAACCATGCAACGTCCAGTTCAGGCCTTGGGCCACTCCGGCAGAACAAGCGACGATCCGGCAACAAGCGCAAGACAATTTTTTCTGGATTAGAGTGTTGTGAGTGCCTTTTTTGGCAATGCCCTATCTTAAGGCGGCGGTGTCCAAGGAGTTCGGTCAAGTGTTGAAAGATTTTCCCCCAGAAAAGAATAAAGCAGCGCCTAGATTGGTGAACCGACGGTATGACATGCATCCATCGACGAAATCCAGGATATCGAAATCGTTGAAATTCCGATCTCCACACGGATGGCATAAAGTGGATGTCGTGACACAGGAAACTCCATGGTGCCGCGACTGCAGATGGTACGGTCATGATAGTGGAGCATTGGACTGTCCCAAAGCGAGCAAGCCACAAGGACGATCATATTCGGAGGTGGTGGGTGGTGGTTCTTCAGCTTTAGCGGCAGGAGGGCTGCCGCCGGAGGGTGGACGTCCACCGGGGGCGGGTGGTGGTCCTTCAGCACCAGCGAGAGGAGGCTTGCCGCCGGTGGGAGGACCTCCACCGGGAGGGCCCTTGCCCGGGGGACCTCCGCCGGGAGGACATCACCCTGTGGGGAACAATCCGGGTGGTTCATCTGCTTCAGCGGTAGGAGGGCTGCCGCCGGTGGGGGGACGTCCGCCGGGGGCGGCGGGTGGTCCTCCAGCACCAGTAGGAGGAGGCTTGCCGCCGATAGGGGGGCCTCCACCGGGAGGGTCCTCGCCCGAGGGACCTCTGCCGGGAGGACACCAGCCTGTGGGGAACAATCCGGCTCTGCAAGATCGTGGTTCTTCTATCCCGGTGGTGGGAGGATTACCTCCTGTGGGGGGACCTCCGCCGGGAGGGGAAACGACAGGAGGAATGAATCCACGTCAGCAGAGTGGAGGAAACCTTTTACATGAGTCTGCGCCTTTGCCTTCACCAGCTGCCACGCTGTTACCTGCTATCGGAGATGGCCATCCCCCACCAATTTCGCCATGGCCTACGGCTTCGTCGGTGCCTCTGGGAATGCCTTTACCTGCTGTTCGAGATGGGATCTTCTGCCCACCTCGCCTCACCCCACGACCACTGGAGGAGGGATTCAACTGCAACTTCGATAGCAGGCATAAGGAATGATGGTACCAACAGTTGGACCGGGACGGCTTACCGAGCAACAACAACTTGGGGGGGATGGTGGCTACAAGGAGGCACCCCCTCCGACGAAAGAGATAACGGGAGAGGAAGTGCTTATGTTCCAACAGAAAGATCCGTACCAATCGCAGCGGAGAAAAGCGACCACAGGGGGGCCAAGGCAACAGCAACCGGGCCCTTACGATCGGCCTTCTCAGGATCGTCGTACCATATCAGATGCGTCTCAAGCAAGATCTGTTTCTTGGGCAGACATGGCCGACGCGGCCACACAGCTGGAGGGGCTGCAGCCAACAGACTTGCGGAGTGCCGCTCCTCTATCACAGCAACCAACAACACTCCAAGAAGAACCGCACTTGCAGCATCGACAACAACTCCAGCCGACAGAGATCAGACAACCGCTTCGAGCCCAGGTGTTTCCTGGCTCGATTACAGAAGCAATAGAGGCGGGAAAACCATGGGTTGTCGTGCCGCTGGTCTTCACTGCTGTCGATGGGCTTCTGCAGTTGCTGACAGCAGTTTCAGCAGTGGGCCCTCTGACGATCCCGCACTTTGAGTTGCACGAAGATCCATCCCCGCAAGTGGTACTACGAGAGGTGGGTAAGTGGATTTCTCCGGCCTTCAAGATTAGACCCTTAGCAGAAATGGAATGGGCCAGACTCACTCCGACCAACGATCAGGGAAGGACAGACATTATGATCTTCCCGATCTTGGATGCGGTGGTCAGCCCGACCACCACATCGCCACCACCTCTGCCGGCCCTTCGTTGGTTGTCGTGGACACTGATGCAGAACCCGCAAGGACAGACTGCTGTGGACACACGGATTTACGATTGTTGGAATGATGGTTTGCTTACTCTGGTGGAGTCGGCTATCCCTTGGCACAAAAGCCTGTTTTCAAATAACTTCTTACACCTCAAATGCACGGACTGGGAGGACATCAACGGGTAAATGGACAAGATCAGATTAGCATCATGGAACATGCGTGGGCTAGGGTCCCGTAGGGTGACGGTGAAAAGATCTTTGATTAAAACATTGATGAGAAATAAAGGAATACAGATCCTGCTGTTGCAGGAAACAAAACTGGACTCAGAAGCCATACAGGAACAGTTGGGATGGTGGACAGGTCAACAGTTCTGGGCCCCTGCAGTGGGCTCAAGAGGGGGAGTTGCGATTTTGTTCTCTCGCAACTTCCCCTTCTCGGTGACAGACTACTACATGGATTTTGCGGGGAAATGGGTCTGGGTGAGATTTACGGTAGGGCACGATGATTGGGCAGTTTTCAATGCATATGTACGGTCTCGGCAACAGCCAAGATTGAATTTTTTAAAATCCATCCCCTGGTTGTTACCTGCGGTGGATAGACTGGTCTTGGGGGGCGATTGGAATACCACCCTTGTGCCAGGTATGGATTCACCCAGGGTCGCCCCTTTGTCATCGGACGCCATCCTACTTTCCACTGTAGTTGCAGAGCAATGATTGGTTGACGCATTCAGGCAGTTGCACCCATGCCTTAGAACCTACACTTATTTTGCCTCTGCGACTGGCCACCAGCAATACCTCCCTCGTAGTAGAATAGATCTGTTCTTTCTGTCAGAATCGCTTCAACCCTTGTTAGCCAAATGTGTGGTAGTCCCGTTCAGGTGTCCGCAGGAATACCCTTCCTGAATGGGTTTTGGACTCTGAATATATGACCCAATACATGCTAAATTTTTGGTCTGATTGGGTTCACTCTAGACCATTGTATCTGTCCTCAACTGCGTGGCTTTTGGGGGGGTTGAGATCGGTTAAAAGCATGGGTCTTTTGTTTAAAAAATTCTTGACGGTAGACCGCATATCCGCTCTCACAGATTTGAATAATCAAATAGCCCAATTAACTTCGACTCTCGCCTTGGATGGAACTGCGCTGATGACTCGTCTCGACTCTATACGACAACGCTGGACCGTTGAGGTGCTCCCGACACTTAGGACTGCGGCCAATAAAAATAAAGTGCAATGGCTGACTAAAGGTGATAGAATGACTGCAGCCTTCTTTCGAGGGCACCGCCGCAAGTCAGCGCCGTCATCGATTAGAGCTATGGCGCATCCTATGGACCCTATGGCGCCTGTAGCAGAAAGCACAGCGGGAGTCATGCTTAATGTCTCCCTGTTCTACGAAGCGTTGCTGGCCTCACAGGCACAGTACACGGAGAATCAGTTGTTGGCAGACTTCCATCACTTGGTCTGGTCCAAAATTCAAGCTGTTCTCACACCCGAGCATCTGCAGCTCTTAGACGAGGATGTTACCCTCGACGAGGTCTTGCGGACATGCCGGACCCAACCAAGACACAAAGCCCCTAGGATGGATGGGTTGCCAGGATACTTCTTCAAGAAAAATGCGTTGGTTGGCCCCGCTACTGTTGAACATGTTCCAGTCTATTTGGAACGGGGCTGCTCCACCATTGGACATGGTAACAGGAGTCATTTTGCTTTTGTATAAAAAGGGTGATGCAGCGGATGTGCGCAACTACAGACCAATTACACTGATGCCATCCTTGTACAAATTTTTTGCTAAAATAATGACCTTCCGCCTGTAGACGGTCCTACCGGATATCATTCACCCATCTCAGACGGGGTTCTTGACAGAGAGACAAATATTGCATAATGTGATGATGGCGGAAGAGATAGTGGAACTATTGCTTTCAGGTGAAGACCAGTATGCAATAGTGTTGTTGGATCTGGAGAAGGCTTATGATCGTGTAGGCTGGGAGTTTCTGCAAACCACTCTCACAGCATTTGGGTTTGGGCCGAGATTCAAGGCAGGTGTGGCGGCTATTTGCAACAATAGTGTGTCACACTTGACCATCAATGAAACTCTCTCCCCACCGATCCAATTGACGAGGTCGGTTCGGCAAGGTTGCCCACCGGCTCCTTATTTGTATATTTTGTACGTAGAGGTGTTACACACATTGATTAGAACCAATGACAACATCCCGGGCTTGTTGCTACCGTCGGGACACCGCTTTAAATCAAAGGCCTTTGCTGATGATGCAATGGCGGTTATCCCGCCCACTTACGGGGCATTTCAAGCCCTGCAGGGCACAGTGGAACAGTTCTGCCATGTCTCGCAGGCTTCGGTCAATTGGGACAAATCGTCCGCGCTGATCCCGCCGGGAATGCAACCGCCTCAACATTGGGGCATGAGACTTATTATGCCCAACCAACAAGACCGCTTACTTGGCCACACCATTTCTTTTACACAGGACCTGATGTCCAATTCCGCACGCGTTCTGACATCTAATCATGAAGCATTGGCTCCCAGGGTCAAACAAAGGGGGGTGAGCTTGATGGGCAGAGCAGCCATTATTAATAATTCGGTGCTTTCTACTATTTAGTACCAGCGGGCCCTTTTTCAGTTGACTCAGGCAGCTCGATCTGCACTACTGCACATCCTGGCGCATTACCTATGGAAGGAGGAAGATAATGATACTGTTTTTTTTTACTAAAGTGGCGTGGGCCACTGTTACTCAGCCCAAGAGGTTAGGAGGTCTGTCTGTTTTGGACCCAACCCGACAGATAACAACTTTGTTGATGAGATGGGTGTCGTGGGCAATATTGGCTGGTCCGACTTGCCCATGGCGACAGTTGGCAGATTTCTTTTGGATGAGTGCCTGGAACTGGCGTGACAAAAGGTGTGTTTGGCAAGCAACCTGCATTCCTGCCTACTTAAGGAAGAAACTGCCAGATGGAGTATGGAAAGGTATATTGCAGGCATGGAACAACTGCATCCCGCACTTGCGGCCACCACCGTTGGTTATGGAACGCATTCTTACGCAGCCTCTTTTCGAAAATCCCCAGATCCTGGCAGAAAATGCCCTACCTTTTCCCTGTTTTGGACGGGGAGCGTTTGGAGACTCCTGGATGGCCAGGGGGGTGGGGACGGTGTTTGACATCTGGGACCCCTGCCTGGGGGACTGGAAAACAGCATTGCAGTTGTTACACACACTGTCTGGTCTCAGATATCAATCTCAGCATTTGGCATCCTTGTGTGATGCAATGCCTCCCCAATGGGTTGACACGCTAAGGGCAGGCAAAGTGCTGCACACAAACATGTGGTATAGAAAGTCAGAAGAGGACAAACCTGCTCACCTGTGGAAGGTTGAGAATATCGTGCAGTCGGGCCAAGTGCGGACATCGACGTGGAGACTGCTAGGACAGCAGCAATATTTGGGGCAACCGATGACTCTTGAAGAACAACAGACGCCTTTACCTCCGCTGTCACAACTCACTTCGGTGTGTGTATTGCAGTATCCGGAGTGCGTACGACCTTTCGCGATCTCGGTCCCGGCTTGCAAATTGCCACTGGACCCGAGAGATTGGGGCTGGGTGCACCCACTCAAACCTATGGATCAGCTGTGCCTCTACGAATATTCTACGAAACTGGGGTATCAGTTGGCCCGGCCTGATTTGGACATTGGATGGAAGGTGGCCAGACGCTGGGTCACTACGGGCTGGGTGACAGACACGGTGGAACGACTAGCTTCTGCGTTGCCGCACTTTTGGAAACTGCTGTTGGACTTATCGGTTGTTAAACAAGCAAGTTTGTTATGGCTAGCTATGCACCAGGCGATACCGACGGCCGCCTGGTGTGCAAGAAGGACGACCAAAGCCTCCCCTTTGTGTACTGTATGTTCAGGAACTAGAATTGAAGATCTGCAACACACGTTCCTTCATTGTGACTTGTCCAGAACGTTTTGGGAATGGTGGAGGGGCGACTCCCCCCCGATCCCCAACAGCGCTTTAAGATGGACGGATGATTTTGTCCTGTTGGGCAACGCGTCCTGTAGACAATCGTCTATTGGCCCACTGGGTTATGCAGAAGAAACTCTGAGAGGGGCGATCCTCTGGGTGCTGTGGAATCTTCGGAACTCTGCAGTTAGAAGAAATGAACACCTCACCCCTCCAATAGTCAGAGCTGAGGTTAAATTCAATATCAAACAAGCCATAGCCACGGATTGGACACAAAGTGGTCAGCAAGGGATATAGAACCAAACCAATGAACAAGTTTGGCACCCACTGGGGAAGATTCTCGGGCTTGATGACCGTGGCTATAGGCACCACCGGGGTGCCACAGCTGACATTTACATCCTTCTTCTTGTAGAGGAGTCCTGAGATACGGTTAGGATGACTTTGCATACTGCCCTGTCCCAGTACTTTACAGGGTTAGGGAATGCTGATTTTTGGATTTTGATTTAATCTGGGTTTTTGACTAGTCTGATTGGTGTTTTGCTTCTGGACCAAGGAATACTGTTAACTGTATTGATTGCTGACTGGTAGTGTTCCTGTTTACCTTCGTAGGACGGGCTCTCCTCGCAGCCCGGGCGCCGGGCCCTTCTCCCAGCATTGTAATGTAATTGTAAGGTAATTGTTTTTAGTAGCTTTTGAACAACGTGCAGTGGGTATAAGGAATAGGCAATAGGCAGTTGCTTTAGGGATACTCAATTCTGGTTGGCTTTGTTTGGTGTCTGCAGCCCAGCCTTGCACCCGGCCGGAGTAGCAGGGAGCAAGCTTGTGGCTGTTGCTATTTTGTAAGGGACGTCGGGCCCGTTTCCCGGCATTGGTAAAACCTTAAAAAAAAAAAAAAAAAAAGAGTCAAGAGATATCATTGAGCAGAATTAGAAAAACGAAGTCAAGGATATTGGGAAAAATGGGAAAACTGGCTGTTTTTCCACTTTTTCCGAACCTTTTGGGGGTTGGACGAGGCTCGGCAGTTGGGCCTTGAGGGGCCCTTCGAAAAACGAAAAGAAAAACAAAAGACCATGTCGGGGAAGGCCGTGCACCAAGTTGTACTCACGAGGCTCGGCAGTTGGGCCTTGAGGGCCCCTTCGAAAAACAAAAAGAAAAACAAAAGATCATGTCCGGGAAGGCCGTGCACCAAGTTGTACTCACACCAAAACTCACACGTTTCGTATCTAACGCTATAGTGGCCAGTTTCAGGTTTTCATTGATTGTGTTTTTTGTTTTAGTTCCTTTTTTTTTTTTTTTTTTTTTTTTGGTGCCCCACCAGGGAGGCATGGCGTAGTCCAGGGGCTGCTGACACTTTGTGGAGGAGGGTATGCCAACACTATTACTTTGCTGAATGTATGGACCCGCTTTCCCGCCCTAAGTTCAGTTTCGATTTTCGTTTCCCTCTTCCTTCTTTCCTGGACCTGACATTTTGCTGTAACGCCCTCACTGAGGGCATACTCACACGATGACTTTGGGCTAGGTATCTACCAGGTTTTTTTTTTTTTTTTTTTTTTTTTTTGAAAAGGCTGCTCCATCTATTGGTGGGGAGCGTCACCTGCTGGAAACCGGGCCCAGCGTCCCATAGATACATCTTTAAGCATGAAGCATGAGCCATCAAAACAGATCACCATGCTGGAAACCGGGTCCAGCGTCCCATGGTAGCCTTCCTCCATAATCCAATCCTAACCCCTGGCCTGGCAGGGTATCGGAGGGAGCCACCGGGGGGCACCAGTGGGTCCTTCCTAGCCCTCCAGGGTCTCCTATCTCTGAGCCAACCTCGAGCTACCCTTTTTCAATTTATTATGCAAAAAATCCTTGTGCTGAGAACCATGCTCAGCCATCCTTTTCTGCCTAAGTACTCGTGCTGAGAACCGGGATCAGTGTCCCTAGGTTGAACCTCCGTGCTGGAAACTGGGTCCAGCGTCCACCTTTTTTTTTTTTTTTTTTTTTTTTTTTTTTTTTTTTTTGGACAAACACCCCTTCCAGTGCTAGTGCTGCTGATAAGAGCAGACAGCACTATCACCGGTGGAGAGGCTCCAGCGTCCACCTAGGCTGCCCCTTGCACGGTTTCCATTAGGGCGAGCGGGTGGCGGGTGTTGAAGGGTCTGGGAACTCCGTCGCTGGTCTCAGCAGGATTCGGGGTTATCCTTCCCCACAGTCCAGGGAGGTTTTTTTTTTTTTGGGGTCAGATATTTTTGTTAACTTATTAAACCTTTTTTTTGAATTTTTCCCCCTGGTTTACTACACTTGTTACTGCCATCATTGTTATTGTTTTTTTTTTTTTTTTTTTTAACACTCGCCCTGGGTGGGGTGCTGATATGAACAGACACCGCTAGCACCCCCAGGCAGGCTCCATCTATTGGTGGGGAGCATCACCTGTTATTGTTATTGTTATTGTTATTGTTATTGTTATTGTTATTGTTATTGTTATTGTTATTGTTATTGTTTTCAGCCGAAAGACGTCATCCCCAAGTGGCTGGCTTCGTCTTTCGGTGTTTTGTTTTTCAAGTGCAGAAAAGAATTGGCCCCCAATTGACTGGCTTCTTTATTGGTAACAGACTTAATTTGCTTAAGTCAACTTAGTCCAAGTTAGTCGTTAATAAAACTGAATAAATTGATAATGATCTACCTTCATCACAATCACGTCGTCGTGAAAGCTGACTTCGCTACCCTGCCCCATGTGTATAGATATACTAAACTGTTCGTACCTGAGCAGGCATGCAAGGCGCGAAGCCTCATCACGAGAGACTGGGTACTCAGAACACTTGTAGTAGGGATAGTCCGGTTGTTGCTTGCCTTACCGTCTGGAAATCAACACCCTCAC